GCGTCGAATCTGTCTTGTTAGAGAGTAGAGGTAGAATTTTGTAGTTAGCAATGGACTTTTATAAATTAAAAAAAATTATAATTACAGTAATTTTTATTTAATTCACTTTGATTCGAATCTACAGCAGAAAATCTGCTTGTCCAAGAAAGACTAAACGAGATAAATAGAATAATTGTAAGATCTGACTGACCGCGCCTGTACGAGCGCTCAACCATTATTACTCAATGAGAACTCTGAGCTGAGTTGACCGAAATAAATGATCGCTCAGTAATCCTGAAGAACTTTTACTCTTCACGATTGGTTCTTACGACTCGACCTGAATGAGATTCGCGACTACCAGTGAAAACGATCATGTCGATCGATCACGGGAAAAATGTAACCGTGGCACGCCTTTCCCGGTCGCCCGGCACTCAATTAATTTCTTAATTGCTTTTCCCCGAAATAAATCAAACCGCGCACCGGGATTTATCGTTATTGCTCGGGACAGGCTGCTCTCTCTCTCTCTCTCTCCGTTGATGCCAGCAGCCCGTTTTCTGCAACGGGCTGCTTCGCCGTTACTACTGGATGAGACATCGAACACGGACCTTGATCCCGGCAACCTTTCACTCATCTTCCATGCCGGATCGACGCGGCAAACGATTTTCACCGAGGAATCGTGACGCATTTACTACGTCTCAGCAGCTCCGTTCTGCGACAAGGAAATTCTTTAGTCTCACCACAGAGATCAGAAGTAGGCGACAAAAGTGAGACGTATAAATTACATTACACACATGTAACTCATATATTACATAATATAACATAAATTGTGACGAACAATTCAGAAAATGTAGTATCAATTCAGAAAATGTAGTATCAATCATAACATGATCACTACGAAAAAAGTGCACGTTGATAACTGGACTTGGTCGGAAGAAACGAGCTAATCAGAATTGATGAGGATAGACTGAAAATAATTTCTTATGGATTCAACGGATATTTTATTGATTTTATGGAATTCCCGTCCGGGGCAATTGGCCGAGGTTCCCATCAGCGACTCGGTTGCTCGTGCGAGCCAAGAAAAGGGTTACCGGAGAAACGGAGAAAGAAATAAATAAACGAATGGGTATCGAACGCGAACCGAACGGGGACACGGTGAATTTATTTAAATTGCGAGCAATGTTCCAGCGTGTTCAGCAGCTTCTTCTTCGTACTCCGGGCCGGGGCAATCGAAATCGAGCAAAACGAGCAAAACCGAAGCGTGCTGGATCGCCGGTTTATATATTGTATATAAGGCAGAAAGGGGGAACCGTTGGGTCGCCCCGTGGGACAACGCCACCGAGAGCCTCCTCTCTCTCTCCCCCCCTCTTTCGGACCGAAACTTTTTTTCTCCTCTTTTCTACGCCGACCGAGACCCGGTCCCGAAGTAGCCAAACGTATCGCCTCTGCAATTGTTAATCGTCGACATATTTTCATACGCACCGACCATACTAAATGACCATTTTAGAGAAACAATGAATCATCTATCTAGTGAATTAAACTAGAGAACATAGTCATCTTAGATTCTTGATTTCTCTATAAAAAAAAAAATGATTACGATCGTAAATGGAGATGTTCAATTCTCAGTTTGAAGAGTGAGCGAAAACGAGGAGAAACCGCGGCCGCAATTAGCAGCAGATAGAACGTTCGCAAGGGAGAAATTCCGATGCGACGGCGAACTAATTACCCGGCTGGTTTATTTCGTTTCAGCCGTTACGCTCCGTCCGCGTTTTCCTTCGAAGGGACCGGGGCACCGTCTCACGGTAGTCCGCCGATAAATCGCGGTCCCTACAACGGGAAAAATCCTGGATATATAATTGTTAGTTCCGCGTTGCGATCCAATTAATAATCGAGCCTCTCTCGTGCCCCGCGACACCCGGGCGTAATCAACCGGCGCGCAGCGTGCGTAAGCCGGAAACCGGCTCGATGGCTTCTGGGTATCTATTTAACGACGTTACTCTCCCCGACGGGGTTCGCAAAAATCCTAGCTGTACCGTTCGTTCTTATCGCCGTCCTTTTATTGGATCTGCACGGGAGTGGCCACGGGAAAAAGGCAAACGGAAACTGCGCGCGGTCGATTTTAATTAAATCCTTTCATTCGTTCTTAAAAACGCACCGTCGACCTTGATGGACAACCGAGTGTGCGTTGCGATTTTAAATCTGGTTCACGTGCCACTTGTTTTAACCTTACAAGTTTTAACACGCCACTATTATGAATATTGAAAATTAATAGAATGTTTCACGTGTCCAATGAACGATGCAAATATTTGCAAATAAGGTAAAGGAAGTAGTACTGGGACAAAACGAATTTTGGAACCAGTACTTGGACATAATAGATATGTATTTAATAATTTAC